ATCATCGTTCAATACTCACTTTACTGGCTGAAAGCCTTCCTCAAATGCTGTTATTTAAGCAAACTCCGATGGCTGAGGTTGTTTCCAACATTTTCCCATGATAAAGAAAGCGTGAAAAATTGGGCACCTTTATTCTGTAATACTGAGGAGGAAAGGATGTTGGTTCTTACCCTGCAGTGCTCAGGGCTTCACTCCTGGCTTGTGCTCAGTATCAAACCCAGGCCAACTGCATGCAATATAAGTGCTTTGCCTGCTCTACTTTCCCTCTGGCTCACCTATATTTACTTTATTTTTCATGTTTTCTCCTTAAAATCCAACAGATCTCAGTATATTTTTATGAGTTTTGATATAAAAAATAATTCACCGTCTATCAGGATTCATAATGTTTTTTGGAAATATGTCACTGCCAATTTAATAATATGCTTGCAACTAACGTGTATTACTATGAAAAATTAGGTATAAAAATTCATGTACTCATAGTGCCATGTGGCAAGCTTGATAAACTTATCAAGTATTTGGAATTTGCTTATCTTTTTATGCCAAGAACAAAAGAAGCTCCAAAAGAAGTGCTCATAGGGTATAATCTCTGGTGTTCCTGGTGCTCTCCAGAGGGCCAGCTGGGGCCTTGGCTGGCCACTGGGAATCCCAGAAAGTTTTCCTTTGCTTGCTAGGCCTACATTCCCAGAAATGAGGGGGTCACCACACTACAAATTCACTATCTGAACAGTGCTTCGCAAAGTGTTTCTACAGCAAGCTGCTTTCATTTTAATGCTGAAAACTTAAGTAAAGTTAAGTTTGGTACAAGTCACTTTGAGAGAAGAGAACTAAGAAAAATTAAGATTCTAGATAAGCAGGCTGGTGGAGAGTCAAGACAAAGGAGAGGTGCTTAAGCAGATGGGTAATCAAGGACCTTGATGTGCTACAGACAATGGTTTCCAGGGGCTGGAAGGGACAGTACAGTGGGCAGGGTGCTTGCAATGCACACAGCAGATGAGTCGATGAGTCATCCAGGAGTAGTCGGTGGCCTACCAATCCGAGTAGTTAAAATTCTCATGATACCCAACAACGCTCTTCATGGGTGGTTGTGCAACAGCTATGGGGTAGTCACTGGGGAAATCTGACAGATGGGCAGATGCACAGCAATCTAGGGCCATGCATATTATGGGGTCTGGGACCTCGCAAAACCGAGGGAAGCCATAATCTTTAGGAAAATGTCTCTTGGCATGAGAAAACTTCACTTGATTCTCTCCAGGTGGTTCTCAACATTTCTGCTGATTAGGGCAAGGGGCAATTCCCTTTATTCTTTGCTGGGGAGACATCTACTCCAAGCCAGGAATTTTAAAACTGGCAGTTCCTACTTTTCTGGTGGAGAAAAAAAATCACCTCGCAGTAAGAGTGCCACCTTGTGGCCAAACATGAAAGTGTCACGAGGAAATACAGCTGAAACAGAGAGGCTGTACTTGCATAAACCCGGTGTGGCTGCTAATAGCTCAGTACCCTGTATCATTTATACATTTGTCGGGGGGAGGAGAGTTCTACATTGTATATGGAATATACATATTCCATCCAATATGTTCAAAATTAAGTAATCGCGCCTCCTGACTTTAAACAGAACCTACCTGCTGGTGAAACCTGAGAGCACCTATCAAATCACGGGAATTTCCTTTTCGTGGCAGAACTCCTCACAGTTGAGCAAATCACGGGAATTTGCTTCCCCTGGCAGAAATCGTCGGAGCAGAGCATGAGACGTTTCTTTGTGCATTCACTAGAAATCCCGAACGACAGCTACACCACTAACGTCTGCTCCCTAGCTGCCAGCTGACTGTTGGGTGCACAGGGAATCAGCTACAAGGTCTTTGCATGGAATGTCATGGGACACTGGCTCCGTCCACTGGCTCAGGCTTGGGGTGGATGTACAGAGCAGAGCCCTGTGCTGCTGCTGGGTTCACAGCATACAAGGGAACTTGAGTACAACCTGCAGAGACAGGCTGGTACCCACCCCCCATCTCTCATGGAGGGCCACATGGGCAAAGCAGAGAGCAAGGGAGAACAAAGGGAAGCTCCCCAGAACAGGTCAGAGATGATAAGCAGAGCCACAGTGGCAGGAGAGCATGAGGGGGGACTCCGCCCAAGGAAAGTGTGCCCTCACTGAGAAGGAACCAGGAGTGCAGAGGGACCTGGCCCCGGAAACTGTGGGGGAGGTCCCAGCCCTTCCTGATTCAGGTGGGCAGCAAGCGGGGGGACTGAGCCAACCTCTTCAGTATACCCCATTCTGCTCAATGCACCCTCCAGACTGCAGGAATATGCTTTCCAACACACACACACACACACACACACACACACACACACACACACACACAAGAAATACAAACAGGACCATTAAAGACACCAGAAACACCAGGGGTGGGAGGTCCAACTGTTCAGCAAGGCTCAGGATGCTGTTTCTTCAGAAACTGAAGTTTCTGCTCTTGGTCACTTCTCTGTTTGCTTCACTCCAGGTCTAGTGCCCTGGCCCCATTTATATATATTTATATATATTTATTTATATTTCCACCTTTGGACTCCTGAGACTATCCTAAGAGTCCTCAGGGGCACATGGCCCCTTGCGTGGGGAGGTGGTTCAGAAAGGCTGTGGCTGAACCCACTCTGGGGCACTCAGATCTCTGTCCCTGGGAACCTAATGTTCTCTACTACTCTGTTCATTGGTTTCCTCATTGGTAAAATAAGATTAGTGCTAATAGGACTTACTTGAGAAAATTAAATCATACAAGTTAAAACAGTGCCTGGTATCCAATTGTTGCAAGGAGGCAGCCATCTGATTCAGTCAAAATAGTAAACACAAATACTATTTTGACTGAATCAGGTGAACAAGCAATGCCATTTCATTATAAAGAAAATATTGCATAAGCACATCATAACAGAAGTACAATATAATTTAGTTAACCCGTTTTCTATTGCTCTATACTTAAGTTTTACCTCGTCTATATTTTAATCAGTGTTGTTGTGTAGTAATTAAAAAACTAATTAAGTTCTAGGATGGCCTTAAAACAGAATACTATGCCACCATTACAAAATAAGGCAGCTACATTAGTATAGAAAATCTATCTATGAAGAGGAAACAATGCCCATGATATACTAGACCAAATATACTACCATCTAAAATTAAAAAAAAAAAACTCACGTGAGGCCAGGATTCTGGCACATGTAGTACAAGGTGTGAGGACCCGGATTTCATCCCACAGTGGTACATGTCCGTTATCACCCCCTCTACCACCACAAGCAATAAATGGCACAATTCTAGTAGGACCGGCACTGCTGGGTATGGCTCCCCACAACTATAAGATAAATACAAAGGGGCTGGAGATATAAATGCAGCAGGTGAGACACTTGTCTTGTGTGTGGCCAGCCTGGGGCCTATCCCTGGTACCACATATGGCTCCCCGAACACTGTGAGGAACGATCGCTGAGCTCAGAGTCAGGAGCAAGCCCTGAGCACAGCCAGGGTGTGGCCGCCAAAACCAAAATAAAATTAAAATTAAAACATACACAAACAAATATGGAGGCACGTATGCAGAGTGTTATGTACATAGCTACATACCAGGCTAGTTAAAAACTTTCTTTTAGGCAAAGGAATATGGGTATTTGGGAGGATGCTGATATTACTGCAAAATACTTTTATTTGGAGGATGCTGACATTATTGCAAAATACTTTCATTTATTTATTTATTTCGTAGTTTAGCAATGCAGTTTGATGTATAGCTCCTTTGCTAAATTTTCTTCCATCTGTTCTTTCCATCTGAACACAAGGTCCTTCCCGGTCTGCCCGGTGGGCAAGCACGACAGCATCAACTCTCAGGCCCCTCCTTCCCGCTGCTCATGTGCTTCCTTCACACTTCCCGGGCTTGCTTGCTCCTAGACAGAAGGCCAGCAGCCACCCCCCCGCCCCCCCGGAACAGCTGTCTTCATCCTCTCTGCTTAACTTCCTGCATCTGGCCTTCTGCACAAAGCTGAGCTGCTCCTTGGTGGCCCCGCCAATTCTCCCACCCCTGCTCCCTCCAGCATCTTCCTCAGGGCTTGACAGAGGCCTGGTTCTGAGGCAAACAGCGGGGAGGAAGAACTAACCCTCAAGAGTTAGTCAAGGTCAGTGGGGACACAATCGTGGCAAACCAGCTTAACCTGCCTGGTATCTGCTCTTGGAGTCTTCTTTGCCACTGAGGGCAAGCAGAAAACTCAAGACCAGAATGGATTTTTCTCTCCCTGGTAAAAGGTAAGTGGCCCAAGCAGCCGTGTGGTTCCGTCTTCCATGATTCCTATGATGGATACTGCTTATGAGATGTGGTATTTCGATCATGGCAAATACCTGTCTAGAAAACCCAAGGCAAAGAAATTCCCTGAGCAATGAAACCAACCCTAATATTGCTACCAATAGGCTTCCCAAGCAAGGAAAGACATAATGCACGGATGAAACAGCTTCATCTATCTTTACTATTTAAAGCACTATCAATGGAGCACTCTGATAACTTCAGCCAACAGCATTCCTCATGGCAAACCTGTGCCTGAGAGTTAGTTCACAAACTCAAGCCAAAGGTCCATGTTTGAGGCCAGAAGCAATGCCCTGTACCCTTATACATCGAGGTACCCCTTTAGCCTACTGGTCGGAGGTTAGAATCAGTTGAACACTGAGGCACAGACCAGTAGTCCAAGATATTTACTGTTATAAATCTATTATTAAATAGCCATAACCTTTTGAAGAAGACCTGTGTTGGGAAAATCCTTTCCATCTTGAGATACACAAACCCTCTGAGAGATCCTTTCCCCAGGATGGCCTGGAAGTAGAGTTGGTTGGTTTTGACCTTCTACCAAAAGTCCTCAGAAGTTATCTGGCCCTTCCATGAAAACATTTCCCTAAACATCTCTTATCCTCTGGCAATCTTCAGCATCTCAGTGTTTCAATTCTAAGAAAGCAAGCAAGTGAGGCGGCGAATGCCAGTCACACTTACAGGGGTCTGGAAGCAACAGAAAAGCTGGGTGAGGAAGGGGTGGTTGCGGGCCAATGAGAGGATCCTTTTCTCTGTCATCGTGCACTCCACATCATCATCCTGCAGGATCACATCCTTCTTTAGCACCTTCACGGCATAGAGGTCTCCTGTTTCCTTTATCCTGGCAAGCATCACCTGCGGGAAAGCCGAACGAAGGAGAACAGGCATGAGAATTCCTGGGGTGCTGAGGGTAGGCACACATCGAGCGGGGCAGAAAGGAAAACAGGCCTGCGGGAAATCTGAGGGTGTGAACATACACGCAGGTGCAAACAACATACATGCAACATGCTTCCTGCAACCACAGCGTGGAAGTCAGGGCTCACCTTCCCGAAGCTCCCCTTCCCCAACACTCGGATGAACTCAAAGTTGTCGATCCCAAGTCGATTAGAAGAATTCCCACCAACCCCATTTCCTTCTTTGGTGCTGTCTTTCCCCTGACGTCTTAGTGTCGATCTGGAAACAAGCTTCTGCGAAGAAGAAGGAGAAAGTAAAGATCAGAAGGGGCAGTGTAGGTGCCAAGTACTTCTGGATGGAGCAAACCGTACCTGCGGCTTGACCCTCCCGACAGGCCTCACCTGCGACCTCCTTACAGCACTTGAAAAAAGAGTGATTCAGCATGATTCAGGGTTCTGCCACTCAAAACGACTTCAGTTCCAGCTCTGATCTGTGCCTGTGGTACCTGGGAAAGGGCCCTTTCTAAAGTACAGCTAAGCCACCAAATTTCAGTTTGTGTTTCTTCGGGACATACACAAAAGCAAAAGCCTGTGCCTGGGTTTTTCCCCCAGAGGCTGTCTAGGAGATGGTCAGATTCCAAGGGCGCCACCTAGTGTCCACTTCCAAAAAGAGCCGTTTTCACCTTGGCTCAGATTAGCACCACATACCAAGAAGAGCATAAAGGAAGTGACAGTTAATACAGTTAATTTTGAATTATGTAAGAAATATTAAGGTAAAGGTAAGGTAAAGGCCCTCCCGTTGATCGTCGATTTGCTCGAGCGGGCCCAGTAACGTCTCCATTGGAGACTTTGTTGTTACTGTGCCTGGCATATCGAAATATTAAAAAAATGTAAAATTTTAAATAATGAACTTAGGCATAAAGGATAATATTTAAAATATCTCTAGGGCCTGGGAAGTAGTACATTGTTTAGGCTCACGCCTCCCATGGCTTGACTCAGCACAGGTGCAACTCTGAGGATGTGCTGCCACTCAAGCCCTGCGGTGCCAGGACCACCCCGAAATTGGAGGCCTCTAGGGCTACACTCGACAGTACCTGGGGGACCATATGACACTGGGAATCAATTCTGAGGTGGGAAGATGGTAGGCATATGCCATAATCACTGTACAGACTAACTCCTGAACCTGGAAGCACTCCCCTCCCCACCCACCCCTGCCCTGCCAAGATGTTTTTTATTGAATCACTGTGAGAGAGACCCTTACAAAGCTGTTCATGATTAGGTTTTGGTCATACCTTATTTATTTTATTTTTATTTATTTATTTATTTATTTGGATTTTTGGGTCACACCCGGTGATGCTCAGGGCTTACTCCTGGCTCTGCACTCAGGAATTACTCCTGGCAGTGCTCAGGGGACCATATGGGATGCTGGAATTCGAACCTGGGTCAGCCGCATACAAGGCAAACGCCCTACCCACTGTGATTTTGCTCCAGCCCCCGGTCATACCGTATTCTAACACCCATCCCTCCCTCCACCAGTGTACATTTTCCAGCACCAGTGTGCCCAGTTTCCTTCCCATCACACCTCCCACAGTCTGCCTCTATGGCAGGTGTTCTCTCTCTCTCTCTCTCTCTCTCTCTCTCTCTCTCTCTCTCTCTCTCTCTCTCTCTCCACCCCTCCCCCTGCCTTTTTGGGCATTGAGGTTTGCAATGCAGATAAAAAAAAAAGATTGTCGTGTATATCCTTTTACCTACTTTTAACACTCAGTTCTTGTCCAGCGTGATCATTTCCAACTATTATTGTCATACTGGTCCCTTCTCTACCTTACCTACCCTCCACATCCCACACACAATTGTGGTAGATTCCAACTACTGACCAGTCCTCCTAGCCCTTTTTTTCCCTAGGCTTGGATATTAGTCTTCTACTATGCATTTTTATACCACAAATGAAATGTAATCATTCTTTATCTGTCCATATCCTTCTGACTCATTTCACTCAATGTGATACTCTCCATGTCCATTCATTTATAAGCAAATTTCATGACTTCATCTTTTCCTAACAGCTGCATAGTGTTCCATTATGTAGATGTGCCATAGTTCTTTATCCATTCGTCTATTTTCAGGCATTCAGGTTGTTTCTAGATTCTGGCTACTGTGAACAGTGCTGCAGTGAACATAGGGGTGCAGATGGTGTTTCTGCTGTGTATTTTTGGGCTCCAGGGTATTTTCCCAGAAGTGATATTGCTGTGTGAAATGGAAGCTCAATTTCTAGTTTTTTGAGGAATGTCCAGATTGTTTTCGAAATAAGGGTGGACCAGTCAGCATTCCCACCAACAGCAGAAGCACTTTCTTAAGAAATCTTTCTGGGAAAGGAATGATCTGAGCCACAGTGCGAATTCTGAAGATTAAGACTCCTAGACAACCTCTCCATCTAGAATGGTTGATCATCGGCACAACATAAGTTCCAGTTTTCCCCCAACCACACCAGATTACCCACCCCTACCATGCCTCAGAAATCCCACCACCACCACTGTGGTATTAACAGCTTGTCTCCCCACAAAACAGATCTGAAGCACTCTGCAATGCCTTCCCCAAATCAAGAAATAAAGATTCACAGAGGCCAGAGAGAGTGCTCAGGGGATACAGGAATACCGAAGATATGCACCAGGCCCTGAGTTCGAGCTCAGTACCACATTGCACCCTGAGCACACAGGGGTGGCGCTGGCAACTGCCGGTACTGCCAGTCCCAAGCAGAACTGCACTGCTGGCGTCTAGCACTGAACCATCCAGTCTAGTTGGCTGGGTGCTGTTGGGAGTGGCCACAGAGCCCCCACAACACTGCTTGGGGAGCCCCCTGCCCCCCCACAACCACTCCAAACAACAGACAACAAAAGAAATACTAAAGCAATTATAAGACCCTGCTCTACTAGGCAGATGTTTTTCAATAAAAAAAAAATGGGGGTGGTAAGCTCTGAGCTTCTCTAGATTATCAAGAAACTGATAGTAACAGTGCTTCCCTTCTGTTATCTGACTATGAAGTCTAGAATTTTCCTGATCTCAACATCTAGCTACAGCTTTGGGAACTCACAGCAGGGCTGAGGCTCTTTCCTGCCCATTGGTAGACCCTGGCTGGGACAGTGGCAAGAGGACGTGGGCTGGAGCGGTGGCTGAGGGTCTAAGATGAGAGCCAGGGGCAGTCACTCAGGGAGCAGCACTGGGCAAAACAGGTCCAGGGCAATGGCACAACCCCACCCTCTCCTGAGAACAAGAGGAAGGAACTCCTGTCTGTCCTTGAACTTGAGAGATAAATTCACAATCCATAAACAAAAGACTGTAGAACAGCTGAACTACAGGATTGCATAGAACCTTAGGGATCAAGTTCAATTCCTTTGGGACACAGGATCCCCAACCCACTGTGACTGGTCTGGTCATGTGCACTTCCAGGGGCCCCAACTACGGGAAAAGTCCAGCCCTGGACTCCAGAGTTTCACCAGACCACATGGACAGAAAAACGATTTTCCAAAATCCCCCTTCTGCTTCTGGCTGCACATCTGCATGCTTGCTATTCTTTTTGTCATATAACCGGGTGAGGATTCAGTTTCCTAAAAATGCAATGAGCCTGGGCCAGAGAGAGGGTTCAGAGGGCTGAAGTACAGGCAGACAGGTTCCATCCCAGTATTGCAGGGTCCAATGAGCACCACTGGGAGTGACGCCCGAGCAAGGAGCTAAAAGTAGCCCCTGAGCACCGCCACTGTGGCCAACCATTCCCCGTCCCTCCTAAGAAAGAAGAAAAACAAGAACGTTTAGGGGAAAAAAAAAGAAAAGAAAGACAACACATCTGTTTATTGTGTATGCTGAGATTTGGAACTTTACTTATGCCACGTATGCCATCTGGGCTAGTCACATCTGAACGTCTACATTACAATATATGGAAAAAGCAGAAATTCTCACCGAAGTCGGAGAAATATTTCCGGGTTGAAGACCCATGCCCGCTAGCGTCTTGGCCAGCTCCACCGCATTTACTCCACAGTTTGGGGCCACATTTGCCTGGCAGCGAATGTGCACATTCATCTTACAAACTGCAGGAAGAGAAGGAACCCAGTCAACATGTGCTGCTGAAGAAAACTTCCATTATCTGAAAGATTTTGACAGCGACGGTACAGCCTGAACAATGCCTCCTTCTCAGAAAATCTAACCTGTACTCATAACAAGCCCTGGCATTTTTTTCTCTCTGTTTTGTGCAGAAGCAGAGAGCCTGGCATCTTGGAGAGGAATGCATTCCAATACCCTTTCCCCGCCATGCTGAATGAAGGGAAGGCATTCATCTGAAATACCTGTGAGAGTCATCACTGAATGAACAGTGCGGTTCAATGTAGTGACCATAATGTTCATCTCAGGGCCAGCACTGTCTATTAAAGACAAGAGCGCATGCGTCTCACCTGTGAGGGGCTCTCAGCTTCATCCCTGGCATCACAGGTACCTTCTACACCAGTAGGGCTCCAAAGAGTCCACAACAAGCATTTTCTTTCTTCTTCTTCTTCTTTATTTATTTATTTTTTTTGGTCTTTGGGCCATACCCTTTGGTGCTCAGGTAACTCATGGCTCTTTGCTTGGGGATTATACCTGGCTGTGCTTAGAGCACCAAATAGGATGCTAGGGTTCAAATCCAGTCCCACTGCGTGCAAAGCAAGTACCCTACCTCTGTACTATTGCTCCGGCCCCCGTGAGCATTTCTAGGTAAAGCACACTCCAGCAGCACCATTGGTACCTTTTCGAGAAGGAGTCCCATATTTGAAAAAAAATAATAGGAATTGAAGAAACAGACCTTTCTTCAAGAAAAATGTACTCTTTTCCTCTCTATCCCCTGATAAGGCAGCAGTCTATAAGCCACATATGGACCACTGCTCAGACAGACTAGAAATGGGGTTTCTGAGACAAAAACCTCAAGTAAAGCCTTTTTGTCTTTTTCTTTTCTTCTTTTCTTTTTTTTCTTTCTTTCTTTCCTTTTTTTTTTTTTAAACTGTTGTGGCTGGGCAGCCCTCACAGCACTGAGCACAGCATCCTGTGTGGCTGTGGTTCTCATGTTTGCAGCCTGTGGTTCTAACTGTTTCATGATGGAAAAAATAAAGCAACTATTTTAAAGGTCAAAGTAAAAGGCAGTCGGGAGCCAGCTAAGTTCCGGGTGCACAGGAAGCCAACTTGGGGCGATGAAAGGTCTGAGGTATTTAATCAACAGAAAGAAAATATCTGATCATTTCTTGATGGGGGCCCCTGCTGATAGAGACTGGGCTCGAGCAGGGAGCAAGCAACAAGTTTCTGGGCCAACTCATCTTCAGAAGCATGGAGAGACCTAGTTTTGAGGCTCTTTGAAAGTGTGGATTGAGAGCACCCTCTTGTATCACGATAGCCAATTAAGTAGAGAGCTCTGGAAGGTTCTCATGCAAGGGAGGGGCCCTGAGGCTTAAGTGTCATCAGCTTCATGGGAAATTCATCTCTCTCAGAAATACCAGTGAGGAGACAGTGCGTACGGTGACTTTTCAGAAGCAACCCATGACCATACAAGCCAAACACACGTGCTTGGATCAAGAGCAACGCAGATGAATGCTGCGCTCTGCGTGCCAGCAACTGCACAGCAGCTGAAAGCATCTGGGAAGCCAAGAGACAACCATGATGGAGCAGCATCTGAACCAAACAGCCTGGGAGCTGGCTGGGCTTGGGGGTCGGGAAGGGAGAGTGAGTGGAGATCTAGGGAGAGGAGAGGACTACCCTTTCTTATAGACAAGTGGCCAGTCTGTTCTGTTGGCAGAATCCAAACCGGTAAGTTCAGGCAGTCCCTGGAGGTTGGACAGCTTCCTGATAGCAGCTACACATCATTCTTGGAGACTGGGAACATGTCAATGGCCTCAAGGTTCAATTTCACATAAGTTTCGGCAAGGGACCACCCCAAAGTCAGATTCTCACTGTAGTGGAATATGACTCAAAGTCAACAGATCCCAACTCCTAACAGGAGAGGGAGCAGCCCTTCACTAGTCCCTTCATTAAGGCAAAAATACCAGTTGGGATCCCTGGGCACAACCAGTGAAGTGTAAGACCATGAGCGAAGCTTAAGCCTCCTCCACTCCACCTAGCCCCCAGACTCACCATCTTGAGTCAACAAGCCCAGGGGAGCTTCCCTTCTTCCCTCCTTCCCTCCCCCCCTCCCTTCCTCCCTCCCTCCCTCCCTTCCGTGTTACACAGCCCTACTCTCCTCTTGACATTATTTAAATCAGAACCCGAACCTGTACGGCCTCACCTCTTCACCTCTTCCACTAAGCAGGATTCATGTTTTTCCCCCTCTTCTTCAAATTACTATTAAAATACAAAATGACTAGCCTCTGCTGGCACGAGACAGGTAATGGTCTGCTAGGTGGCTTAAATACTTAAACAACTGACTTATTTCGAGTAAGCTATCTACCCAAAGGGTAGAACATACAGCTTGTATCTAAGGCCCTGGATCCATCCTCAGCAACTCCCACCCCCAAAATATCAGTATTGTTGGAATATTGGATTTGTGTTTAAAAGACAAAAAAAAAACAGAAAATCTGAAAATGAACAAAAACAAGGTAATTAAGAAAGTAGAAAAAAATGGTAACAACTGGTTTTTATAGTTTGGAAATCAGGTATACTTTTTGTTTGTTTGGGGTCACACCCAGTTGTGTTCAGGTCTGACTCCTGGATCTGTGCTCAGGGAGTCACTCTGGCCTGCTCAAGGGACCAAATGGGATGCTGGGGATTGAACTCAAGTGGGTCGCATGCAAGGCCAAGTGCCCTACCTGCTGTACTATTGCTCCAACCCCTCTACTTTTCTTTGTGCCTAACAAGGAACTCCATACAAGACTATGATGTCATTTCACAGAATGAGACCCTGGAGCTAAAGCATGCTAAGGGCTTGCTGTACAGGCTCACGGGAAGTGGGTGTCCAGCCCCCCCAGCACCTCACTTTTACACTGAAGTCCCTGCCGCATGATGCCCCACAGCAGGGAGCCACAATGATCGCAAAACGTTGGCACTTTGTAGTTGTGGGTGTTGAACTTGTGTGGAATATTGATTCCAAACCTCTGTTCAGCAAGCTGTGGGGGAAGAAGAGAAAGCAAGTCGTGAGCTGACGTTTCAGACCAATATCTTTTTCTCAAATTAACAGCAGCCCACCACGCGCAAAGTGCTTATACACTGTGTTCTGTGATTTGGTGAGTGGCAGGGGCTGCCCACCCAGCTCACTATGCTTTCAAAGGAACAGAAAGGATGGGGACGGGAGGTGCGCACTCTGCCATTTGGGCAGGAATGCAGAAATAAAAACATCTCATGCCTATTTCTCTTCCTGCCAACTCCCTTACTCAACTCCCTCACACCTTAAAATTTCCTAGAACTTTTTTTTTCTTTTTGAATCACAACCAGCGATGCTCAAAGGTTACTCCTGGCTCTGCACTCAAGAATTATTCCTAATGGTGCTCAGGGGACTATATGGGATGCTGGGGATCGAGCCCAGGTTGGCTGCATGCAAGGCAAATGTCCTACCTGCTATACTATCGCTTTGGTCTCTCCTAGAACTTTTTAACTTCAGGATTAAACAGGTTTTTAATAGACTCTATACATTTACAATTACCACCAGCTCAGCGAGAAATTATGGCACAAAGGAGGAAAAAAGGAAAAAAAAAAGGTAGCACCCAGAGGGCATCACATTTCAGAATGACATTCAAGTGGCTCTGGGACTCAGCCAGCTTGTCTTTGCATTCAACAGTTGTAAGCTAAGGTCCTGCTGAACTCTACAGTACTGTTACCAGGAAACAATGAGATTAGGCATCAGCTCTGTAACCCTGGGTTTCACCCTCTTACACCCAGACTGTCCCCTATCACCTACAGTGGACAGTCACTGACAGTTTAGATGCAATAACTTTGTCAAAGACTTGCAGGATATTTTCGCAGGCTGAGACCAGTCTGTAGGTGGGGGGGGAGGGGAGGGTCAGGGGGAACCATTGTTCTAGAGTCCACATTACAGCGTGAAGCAGCCACTGGTCACACAAGAGAGGAGTAGGGTATTTGTCACTTTTCCTGAAACCTTTCTGGCCTTTCTCATCAAAGTGGTAGCTCAGAATCTCTGGGAACTTTGTAGCAAGTCTGTTACCTGTGAGTTATTGAGCATCTGTGAATCCAAGGCTGTGAGCAAACTACCCCTGCTTTCTTCTTCCAGAACCCAGAAAGCATCCTCATCCCAGTGCACACACTGCAAGTGGTGAGAGTGGGATCCAAACATATATGAGCAGATACAGAGTCTCCCAGAAATTTCTTTCACTTTTTTCCACAATGGAAGTTTTATTTTTTGGCTCTTGGGCCACACTCAGTGGTACTCAGGGATCACTCCCGGTGGAGGATCACTCCTCACTCCTGCTCAGGGGATCATATGGGTTGCTGGTGACTGGAGCTGAGTCAGTCACACACAAGGCGAAAGTCCTACCCAGTGCACACTTTTTGCCATTTGGGCAGGAATACTATCAATCCAGCCCCTGTCTCTGAGATTTCTTAAAAGGCAAGAGAGTCAACTGTCACCTTACTTAGAAATCAGAACTGACAGTGAGCGACATAAGTGCCACAGCAATTTTATCTAGTCTAGCCCTAACAAAAATTGTGTGAGGAAAGTACAGTAGTGTACTAAGATTCAGGCTGAGAGATGTGTTGGGCCTTTCCTGAGCTCAAGAAGCTGCTATCAAGGAGTCTGACTGAGGTAAGCACAGAGCCCCTTCACTCCTCCAAAACTCTGATCCCTAGCTCAGGAAACATGGAATCATCCTTTAAAAAGCATGTTGTTCAAACACAAAAATACAAAGGCCACAATATAATACGGGGGATACAATTTAGTTCTAAAACCACCATCAGCTTCAAGGTGTAGGAGGGAAGAGAGAAGGGGAGAGAAGATAGGGCAGAAAGAAAGAGAAAGAGGATGAGAACAGGCATTAAATCAGCAAACTTCGATCCTCTTACCTTTGAATCCACTTTATTAATATTGTTTTGGCAAGTACAGGCTGTAACAATCAGATGGTGGCAGCGCTTATGGACAACACAGGTGCACACTAGGAAATCAAATCCAGCGATTACACATTGATTAGAGGCTCCCAAGACATTTAGTTTCCAATAGAGTCAGTATGCCAGAATCATGGCAGAACCTGACTGAAATATTTGGTCCACATGATGGCAACCTATGCTAACATCTTTCCTATGTTCTTCTGTGTTTTTTTTTTTTCAAATGATGTTATTTCTTTATTTTGACAAGAAGCTTTAGCACAGAGCGACATCCTCAGGTTCCCTTGCGAGATTCTTTATCATGATCCTAACCCATGTTCAAACTGTATGGAACCAATTCCTGAGCCTACTCCATCCTTCCTGCCTTTCCTCATCACTGCGGCCACCTCCAGAGGGATCGTGTCACAGGAGGATTCTAGTCACTTCTGGTCCATGACTTTCAATGGTGCCTCACTGAGATGCAATTTCCCAGCCAGGTTTCTGGCCCTCCAGAGCCTACCCTGTCAGTTGGTTTTTTCCTTATGGAAGCTCTTTGTCCCAATCAAAATGAGTCTAGTTGCCACTCCTGGAGCAAGACTTCACCCTCCTGACAATCTCTCTGTGTCCCTCTCAGTCCCGAGAATATCCTCTATGCCTAACACTTAAATCTTAATTTTAGCAGAAAAAACAACCAAAGAAAAGTATCTTGCATGCAAATGCACTCTCTCTAGCTGTCCTTCTGGACCGAACTGCTCTCTCCATTCTGGATCTCTTGCGCCCTTGGGTCTACCACCCCCATTTCAAATCTTCTGCTTATAGACAAGACTTGTAATGCCCTCAGTGTAGTGTCCTCAGAATTCCAGCCAGCAGCATGATGCTTGAACAATAAAGGCATTCATTAAATACTTGAAGAATGACTCAATCATTTGAATATTTAGAGCTTTCTGAATAACTTTTTTCATTTTCCTTCTAGATAACTGATATAGCAAAGTGCTAACTTTGCCTTTAAAGGATTAACATGTGCAGTGAAACTGTATGAAAATATTCATAACTATACTATTTTTCAAGATGTAGCAGCTTTTATAATTACGTACTCAAAGCCATAGGACACATCAGCAAATATAATAAGGTATTACTATACCTTCAAACAAATCTAGCTTTGACCAGATGGAACTTTTAAGAGTCCAAATTAGGAAGTGTTCAGAAAACTGATCTATCTGCACAGGAATATCCTCCACATGGGGGTGGGGGGGTGGGGGGGTGGGGGGTGGGGAAGTCCCTTACTCTAAACCACTTGAGTCTTTACTCAACTACAGGTTTGTCACTTTTATCTATTTTTATCAAAGGATAAGCTTATTTAATGGATTTTCTCTATTGTTTTCCTAATTTCAAGTTTACAAATTCTACTCTAATAATTCTTTATTCTGCTTACCTTAAGTCTTAAAATTTCTATTTTCTAATTTCTGAGATGAAAACATTGAGCTCATTCTCATTTTTTGTATTGGGCCACACTCAGAGGTACTCCACACTCAGAGGTGCTCAGGAGTGAGCACCACTCCTGGTGATGCTCAGTGGACCATATGGGATGCTGGGGATGGAACTCCAGAGACCAGCCGCATGCAAGACAAGTGCCGTACCTGCTGTACTTTCTCTAGCACCCAAATCATTCTTATTTTATAACAGGTGTGTTTATTGCTATAAACTTGCCCCTGAATAATACTTTCACTGTACCCCACATGTTTTAATGAGATGTATTTTCATCTGGTTCAAAATACCTTTTGAGTCTTCTTTGCCCCATGGCTCTGCAGTGCTCCAAGGCCCAAGATCACCCACTGCTGTGCGGGGTCAGTGCCCTGGGCCCTGATAGATCCTTGCTTGGGCCAGCAATGCACCACCGCTCAGGCTGCTGAGGCTGGGAACTACAACGGGCTACAACGGGCTGTGCTCAGGTGTCATGCACTGCCAGAGATCCAAGTTGAGGCTTCTCACAGGCAGTGAAGGCCTTTGAACTATTTCCCTGGACCTTCTCAAAAATTCCAAGGTTTGTTTTATCATCTAGAATGTAATCTATGCTAGTAAACATGCTTTGTGAATTTGAGAAGAATGCATATTCTATTGCTCTTAGGTTTTATAAATATGAATTTGACCATGCCATGGATAATGCAGTTTAGGTTAACTCTGTCATTACTGCTTTTCTGCCTGCTGAGTATTAACAACTGCTAAGATATGGACATCTTGAACTATAATAGTAATTTGTCTGAATCTCCTTTTTCTCTCAATGTTTCTCTTATGCATATGGGAAAATATTTCTCAAAAGTTTTCTCAGTACTTACTCCTGTACTTTAATGCTCTCTTTAGAACACAGATTTAAGAGATTGTTACTTTTTTGAAAACTGTTTATTATTAAATATATTTTTTGTTTCTCTTTTTGGGTCACACCCAGAGATGCTCAGGGGTTACTCCTGGCTCTGCACTTAGGAATTACTCCTGGCAGTGCTGGGGGACCACACGGGATGCTGGGGATCGAACCTGGGTTGGCCACATGAAAGGCAAACGCCCTACCTGCTGTGCTATCACTCTGGCCCCCTTGTTTCTTTTTTTGAGCAACACAAAGTGTACTCAGGCATTCCTCTTTCAACACTCAGGAGTCGCTCTAGGTAACTCTCAGCAGAATATAAGGTGCAGGGATGAAACCCAGGCCTTCCACATGCAAAGTATACACTCAGCTCCTTGAACTCTCTCCAGCCTATAACGTTCTTCCTTACCCTGACAAGAATGTTGTTTGTTTTGTTTCTGAGGTCTGCTTTATTTTTAACCCTCTGTATCATATTGACATGGCAGGTTTCTCTCCAGCTAGGCATTTAGTTTCATTTTCTTTAGCAAGATATGGACAATTCAGAGTCTTCATTTCTCCTAACAAATCCTTTTTCCGGCTCCTTTACCAACAGGTGACCCACTGAAAATCAGCCCATTAAATATTCTGGCACTAGAAGCCACTGGGAAGAAATAACACACTTCATAAATCATTGTTTTGTTTTCTTTTGTTCGTTTGTTTGTTTTAGGGTTACCCAGTGGTGCTCAGAGTTTATTCCTGGCTAGGTTGCTCATAGATCACTCATGTGAGGACTCAGGGGGCCATTTGGAGTGCTAGCACCTTACCTGCTGTACTATTCCTCCAACCCCAATTATCTGTTTATTTTGGCCATTCTAGTAATGTTCATGGGTTACTCCTAATTCTGTGCTCAGAGGTTGTTCCCAGAGGTACTTAGAGGACCATGAAGTACCTGAGATACAAGCCCAGATCTCCTGCGAGCAAAGCATGTAATCTGGCCTATTAAGCTCTCTTTCTGGACCAACTATGTTTTTTGTTTGTTTGTTTGTTTTGCTTTTTGGGTGATACCCAGTGATGCACAGGGGTTACTTCCGGCTTTGCACTCAGGAATTCCTCCTGGTGGTGCTCAGGGGACCATATGGGATGCTGGGAATCGAACCCAGGTTGGCCGTGTGCAAGGCAAACGTCTTACCCACTGTACAATCGCTCCAGCCCTCCCCCCAACTATGTATTTTAACTTATAATTGTAATCTTCACTATAAAGGGCTTCTCAGTTTATCTTTGTATGCTTAAGATGGTGCAGATTAAGTATTTTTCTGCAGGTCATAGCCCTGGGATGGAAAGGATCCAAGCAAAAGGTAACACGAGTCTAAACTGTAAGGCTATGTTCTCACATGGGACTGAAAGAAATAACATGAGGTCAAATAGTGCAATCAGAGTGATTATTTGATTCTTTTCCCCCTAAATTTGAGAGCTCAGTAGAATTGTTCATTGTGTGTTAAAGTCAAAATTAGATTCGAGAGTACATCTTATTCTGTTCTTTGAAGGGAAATAATGTTTTGCTTTGCCTCCTCCAGAAGAGAAGGCAGGATTTCCTTATTTACACATAGATTCCACACTAGGTTACATAGCACTAGTTCAATCATATACAAGTATATGCTACCTGTTTAAACTGTATGATGGAGCTCAAGGCCATCATACAGGAGGCCCAAACAAGCCCAATCCAGAATGGCTAAAACGGATGAATAATAAAACTCTCTTTTCACTCCCATTAAAAAAAAATTTCAATGTAATTGTATCAGAACACACGTAAACAAGTTTCAGAATTGTGAAAATTAAAAAAAAATGTTTAAATTTGAACACTTTTTATTTTTTATCTTTTTAATCATAAAAGCAAGCTGGGAACCTGCTTTTATTTTTATGTAGGTCAACAGAAAATAGCCTGCTAAGACTGTGCTTCTTCCTCTGTACTGTCACAGGACCATAGAAACAAAATTTACTGTAGAGCCTCAAAGCACAGGCTCACAAACCAGCATTTCCGTGTTACTGCAGAAACAAAAATTTGAATTCAATTTTATTGGCACCACAGTTAGAAATTAAAATATTCTCTTGATGTGGTTTAAATGTAGTCAAAATTTAACCCATACTAAAGAACTGTAGTCAGGGGCTGGAGAGATAGTATAACGGGCAGAGCACTTGCCCTACATGAGGTTGACCCAAGTTTGATCCCCAGCATGGTTTGTAGAGCCTGCCTGGAGTAACCGCCAGGTGGCTCAAATGCTGTGTCCCACCCACCCCCAACAAAAAGAAGCGTTGTAATCAGATGGGAGGGGGTCTCATTTGAATTATATTAATGAAATATATCCTGTTTATTTTGGCATAATAATATCAGCATATGAACAAGATTAAACATAGTTTGGGTTGTTTTAGGGTTTTTGTTTTGTTTTGCTTGAGGTACCAAGAAAGAAACAGCACTTATTTTTTTCTTTTTTTTATAAATTGGACCCAGAACCTTACACATACAAGGCAAGTACTCTACTGCTGAGCAACATCCCCAGCCCCAAACACAGTTTTTAAATTTCTTCCTTACCTTGACATTGATAGCCTTGTTTCCCAAATACACCCCTGTACAAGAAAATTGAGAAAAAAAGTTGCCGTCAGTCAACTATTTTAGCAACAATGCTCTTATAATTACAGCGCTGGAGGAAAACAAGTTTTATCCTGCAGTTGGCTATGTAAAACACAGTTTCAGTGGAGGAGCAATGTGTACTTTATGAACGCTTGTTTGTTACTGTAAGACACAGAGGAAATGATCAGATATACTAGAACACTCCCAAGAGAAGTAAATAGGTGAGCCCCGGTGCTTCTCAAACAAACCCTCAGTTGTCCCTGTGACCGAGCCTCACTCCCACACTTGACTTCACATTCTCTCTCACAGGTATGTTTAATTGTGCTGAGTGCGGTAGCAGATACTCGTTCTGATGCAAACAAGTGAAGCTACCACAGCGCCTTCCCTGAGCTCCCTTCCCCCTCATCCTGCGCCCTGGAGTCCAAGGGGAGCAGAAGTGCACCCACAACATGTAAAGCATGCCCACAGCTTTGATCTCTGTCTCTCCCTAACACTCTGGTGGCGGGGTGAATATCTCAGAACCAAAATCACATTTTTCAAGGGCCCACAGTATCTGCTCGGTACTGAGCCACCTCATTGGATGCTCACAGAACCCTGTGAGGCAGCATCTGGGAGAGAAACACTGACTGAGCACTGGGCCACAGAGTCTGGGTATGACTTGGGGGAAAAGTGAGAACTTCTCTGGGCCACACTGTCAGCATCTAGACGGGAGAACAGAATCTCATCATGGGGCCACTGTGCGTAGTATACGGTGCCTGGCACTGCAAATGCTGTACAGAAGTTTCATATGTAAGCAAAATAAAAGGATGGTCTATAATGCTGCTGATGGGTTATATATATATAACATGTCTAAGTTCACACACATATATGTAACAACGGCATGTCTGTGTGTGCAAACATGTGCAAGCATGCATGTAAGTAACAAAGCTGACTGGGTGGGGTTAATGTTTCCTGAGTCACTGTCACTATCGATTTGCTCGAGCAGGCCCAGTAACGTCTCCATTGTGAGACTTTGTTGTTACTGTGTTTGGCATATCGAATACGTCACGGGGAGCTTGCCAGGCTCTGCCGAGCGGGCGAGATACTCTCAGTAGCTTGCCGGGCTCTCCGAGAGGGGCGGAGGAATCGAACTCAGGTCGGCCATGTTGGCTGCGTGCAAGGCAAAAGCCCTACCTGCTGTGCTATCGCTCCAGCCCCTTTTCCTGAGTTGAAAAAAAAATAGTGAGACAGTCAAGTAAGCATCAGTGACTTGAAGATTATCATCATCAATGTCTGCGGATAACATCTTAAATGCCTACTTAAAAAGGAAGAAGCAGGAAAGAAACAGCCACAAACAGTCTACCCTTCAACGCAGGCAAACCACGGAAAAAGGTGGGCCTGGACTAACCAGAGTAGAGAGTGTTGCGGGGGCAAAAAGTAAACCAGCCCCAAAGACGCCAGTGCTTCTGATTTTAGTTTTCAATTAAAAAAAAATGGTATGGAATTTGTCTAAAAGATGATGATTGTTTGGGCATATTTGGAGGCTACATATCTAATAGCCAGTTTAGGACCTCTAGGTTAGCTAGGACTACTCTTGATTTAAAATGCCAGGAACATTAGCTAACTAAGGATTCTGAAAATGAAAGAGCAGAAAATTCAAAGGAATCACAAAAAGAAATACAAAGCGACTGATCAATATTTATAAATTACTTTGAAATTTCTCAAATGTGTCTGCCTTCATTAAGTAAAATGACTATAAAGTCATCAACAAAAACATAAATCTCGGAAGGCACTGATCTCCACTCATCCTGCAGATCTGACACTAATGTCACCTTCCGGAGTGTGTGTGTATGTGTGTGTGTGTGTGTGTGTGTGTGTGTGTGTGTATGTGTAAGGAAGCTTTTCTTCTTTCCAAATAAATATGTTTACTGTTACCACTAATTGAAGAAACTGAAACTATTACTTAAATTTGTTTTATGTAATAGATTTGATACTGAAACTTAAACTAGAGGCACATGTGTAGTACAATAATGCCCTAAATCACACAGAATTTCTCAACTGCTAATTATCTTACTTCTTAAATGCCAGGGAGTCTAGAATATGATCACTGAATGCGATTACCTTTGGCTACATACCACAGGGCTGGAGATTACTGTGAGTTTAGCTCACTTGAAACAATTAATTTTCCTAACTCATGGTATGACTCATTTCTTATTAAAGCAACACTGTTGCTTTTTTTTTTCTTCCTCAGGGGATAATCTGCCAGTTTAATATTCATTGACTGACTTTCTCTTTCTACCTAGTGCTTTTTAACCAGTTCATGACTCATCAACACCTTTACCAAAATAATTGGGGAAGAAAATAACACCTAAACTAAGTTCTATATATTACTTTCATTTTTTCCCCTCCCTTAGGGATGATAATTCTAGGTCAGCATATTAGAAAAAGAGGTAAAAATCAGATCTGAAAGCCATTTTTAATAAAGCTGTTTTCTCCTGAAATCACACATAGCTGGAGGAAGCGTCATTTAGAAAGAAGGTTCCGGAAGACAAGTTTTTTTTGGAGGGCTCTCTTACCAGATGAACTCCCTGCAGTGGGAGCAGTAGGTAGGCTGCCTCAGGTACGTGGCCATAAACTTGTGTCCATTGATCTGGTGGACCCGCCTTCGCATAGCCCTTTGGCGTTTCCTGGTAAAATGCTTGAAGATGCGGTCTCTCTGGAGCGTGGCTACACATCAAAAGAAAGAGGGAAAGAAAACAATGTGTAATGAATTCTATATAACCTGCAACTCTATATGGGAAAGCTTAATAGTCCCAATACCCCACATTATTTTTTCTTTCTTTGAGATATAAAACGGTCACGGTCCTCCTGTTGTTCATCGATTTGCTCAAGCAGGCCCAGTAACGTCTCTATCATGAGACTTGTTGTTACTGTGTTTTGCATATCGAATGCGTCCCGGGTAGCTTGCCAGGCTCTGCCGTGCGGGGGAGATACTCTCAGTAGCTTGCCAGGCTCTCTGAGAGGAGCAGAGGAATCGAACTCGGATTGGCCATGTTGGCTGCTTGTAAGGCAAATGCCCTACCACTGTGCTATCACTCCAGCCCCTGAGATATAAATCACCTCCCAAAAACCATCATGCTTTCCCAGTGGTCATAAGGTTCTTAATTTGGGAGCAGGGGAGGGGTGTTGCGTTCATGTATGAGATCCCTGGGACAGCTCCTGTCTGGTTTAATGATCTATTCTGGGCCAGTCTCAGCAGTAGACCAGATTTTCTCAGGAAAATAGGCTCCAATCTGTGATTCCAGGTCCCTGTCCAGATGCCTGGGACCTCAAGTGCACTGGCAGAAATGACTGGTTGGGGAAACAGGGTTTCTCATGGTTTTCTGCCACGTTGATGACCTCCCACAATCTCCCAAACTGAGTGAAGGAATTGCGTGGAGCACAGGGAAAGTAGTGCCTAAGAGCATTAGATTAGGCACCACGATCTCTGTAAACACGGAAAGGGTGTGTGTGTGTGCGCATGTGTGTGTAGAGGGGGGGTCTCACTGCTTAAAATCATACCCCCTAATCAGTAGACTCAGTAAATTAGTCAGCCGCTAAAGACAGTCAATTATCTTTCACATAATTATATGAGAACTTTTCTGATGCGTGTAGAGAATTGCGATGAATAAGAGAAATATTACTTCAATAATGCTTTTCAAATAAACCACCGATGCAAAGAAATTTAAGAAAGGAGGCAAGAAAAAAATGCCTATGTAGATTAAGATCTAGAAGAAATAGAATTGCCATGAAAATGTAAGTGTTCAAAATTAAGTGAAGAACCGCACAAACAAAATAAACTATTTTTCCAGAAGCAATTGCAAAAGCTTTCTAAAAACTGCCTCTGAAAACCCATCCAGACAGTTTCATGGGTGAATTATTTTAAGCCTTCAAGACACGGTAATGTTAGGGTTTAACCTATTCCAAAATAAAGAAGGAAAACAGCCCATTCTTAAAGAAAACTATATGACATAATCTTAGCACTAACAGATGTAACAGATATAGCCCAAGATATGGAAAAGGAAACAGAGGTTTGTAACCATTCATTATGTCATGGGCCCCATAAAAGTTTAGCAAAGTCTACAAACTCCTTAGAATAAAACTTCATAATCTAAAATACAATGTGAAAGATCACAAAGAAAAAGTATAAAATATATTTTAAGTAAAATGAATATGCTTATTTTTATAAATTAAGTACTTGGCAGCAAAACCAAACATTGTTCTTATTTTAGAGTGGTAATTAGAATAACTTATATTTCAAATTAGCTGTAAAAACCACATTATACCTCATACCACTCATACCATTCATACTCCAAGAGTAGCGCACTATATGTGATGGAGTTTAAAGTAGAAGGCAATGAATCTTAGAAGGAAATATATTTTACAGATATATATATAAATAATACATATATAATATGTATAAGCACACAAGGATCAACCCTTAACAACATATTAGTAATCTCATATAGAAGGGCTTAATGGCCCCTTAGGTGAAAGACAACAATCTTCACACACTCTCCTCTAAGGACAGTTTTTTGGAGCCTTTTCAGCTGTTTATTCATAACAAACAATTCAAAACAAATTATTTCAGTTCTGCTTGAGGCAGGGGCTTGGATTCGGGATGGAAACATCCAAATATGGTGGTGGGAAGGTATAACGTGGTGGGATTGGTGTTCGAATATTAAATGTAATCAAATATTGTAAGCTACTATATAAAATTTTTTTAAAAAACATGTTAGCAAGGCTGGAACAGTAGTACAGCAGACTGTGCACTTGCCTTGCATATGGCTGATATGGGTTCAATTCCCTGGCATCCCATGTGGTTCCAGAGACCTGCCAAGAGTGATTCCTGAACACCTCTGGGTGTGACCCCCAAACCAAAACAAGTAAGACAACAAAACAAACCAAAAAAGTCTGTGATAGCAGGGGCCATAGATAGCTCCCTGGGAGAGTGCATCCTTATAAGCCTGAGAATGCAGGTTTGTCCTGGGATTCCTCCATAAGCCCGGTGAGATTCCCAGCAGCACTATCATTTGGGATGCATGGTGCCATGATACCTCAACCCAGTGTGTGATTCCCTTCTCCAACCATCACAACAAAAGCAATGAATAATAGTAATATTAAAGCAAGATACGTTCATATCAGATACTTTCATATCATCAGTGATAAAATAAAAAATATGATATGAAAGTATCTGATATTTCTTGTGATAGCATATCATAAAATCAGGTTTATATTCTGGAATAGAGAAGAAATCACTAAGAAAATGATGGTTGGAGGAACCGGTCAGGATGGGAGATATGTATTGAAAGTAGATAAAGGACCAAACATGATAACCTCTCAGTATCTGTATGACAAACCATAATGCACAAAAGTAGAGAGAGTGTATGGGGAATATTGTCTGCCATAGAGGCAGTGGGAGGGTGGGAAAGTGGGGTATACTGGAGTCATTGGTGGTGGGGAATGTGCACTGGTGGAGGTGTAGCTGAGTTAGATCAGAACAACAGCTGTACGTGAGAACTGATAGGGGAAACAACGGAACCATTATTTTAAAAGAAACTAATCTAAATAGTAAGATAGTGGGAGACTTTGTTTTTTTTTTTATCATTTTTTTTATTAGTGAAACACCATGAAGTACACTTACTGACTTATAAATTTTTGTGCTTGGGTTTCAGTTATACAATGATCAAGTACCCATCCCTCCACCAGTGCCCATCCTCCCCCACCACGGGTCCTAGCATCCCTCCCACCCCCCATCCCCCCCCCGTCCCACCCTGCCGCTGTGGCAGGGCATTCCCCCCTGTTCTCTCTCTCTTCTTTTGGGTACTGTGTTTTGCCAGAGAGGCATTGAGTGGCAATCATGTTTGGTCTATAGACTACTTTTAGCATGTCTCTAAGATAGTGGGAGACTTTGAAAAATTAGTGAGTTCTCAAATACTTGCTAAAAAGATCTGACTGAGGGCTTGGAGGAATAATGCCGTGACTGAGGACACCAGCCATGCAAACATACAGTCACAATTGCCAGCATCACAACCATGCTAAGAGAGATCCTGGCAGCCCAGGATCTTGGAAGTCCTACTGTCTGCAGTCCTGGCATTATAAGTAATCTCCAGATCACTGTACCCACCTAGCTGGGTGCCAACATTAGGAAAAAGGGAGTGCAGCCTTGGTGAGAAGAGAACTAAAAGATGTTCAAGTTCCTTGGCTAGTAAACGTGATCCCAGGGTAAGCATTACAATCACGACTTGCATGCCTCAGCCATGAGCATGAACACATGAGCACATGTGTGATCCTCAGGGAGCACTACTGGTGGATGAAAGCACTACAGCTAGGAGGATGTGGAACCCCTATCATCATGACAGTATCACCACCATCCATAAAAGGAGGTGACAAGGGCAGGGAAGAAAACAAACATCTTATGGGCAATGTACTATACAAATTAAAAAGTCAAATCCAATATGTAGACTTTTATGATAAAAATTCTAAAAGTTATTTTTCTAAATATAAGCTGCCTATGGCAGAACAATAAAATGTGTGCAACAGTGTTGATGGGGCATGGTACCTCTGTATATCAAAAGAACAAATGTGGGGTCAGAACACAGAGGGTAGGATGCTTGCCCTGCACATGCCAGACCTGGTTTGATCCCCAGCACCTCATATGGTTCCCTGAGCACCACCAGGAGTGATCTCTGAGCACAGAGCCATGAGTAAGCCCTGAGTATACAGTCAGATGTCAGTGTAATCCCCTTCCCACACACACAAATAGCATATACATTAATACTGTTGTAAGCAAGTGACCGAAAGGATACTAATTAAATGAAAAACAAATTGTCCAACAAAATTAATTTTTCATAATTTTGGTTTTACCTTTTCAATTTCCTTTTCTCACTTTAATTGTTAATAAAATTTTGCTCTTATTTGGACATATTCACTTTATTCAAACTTTGCACAGCCAGCAATTATACTCAAATAACCAGAAACTTTTACGCTGTAAGGCATTATCTTTAAAAATACCCAACCCCACTATGACTAAGGGGAACTTTTACAGAAGAACAACAATGGGTATATAATTAGAAAATCTATTATTATATCTTATTCTATTAATAGGTAAAAAATGAAACATAGTCTTTCAATAGATGTTGAAAAAATACTTGTTAAACTTTGACTTATCAGGGCTGGAGGGATGGCATAGCAGGTAAAGCCTTTGTCTTGCATGTGGCTAAGCCAGGTTTCATTCCCAGCTTCCCAAATAATCATCAGGAGTGATCCCTGAGAGCAAAGCCATGAGTAAGTCCCAAGCACATCCAGGTATGGCCCCCAAACAAAACAAAAATATTTAATTAAAATTTAACTTATCCAGTACAACATTCATTTGAAAAGCAAAACTAGAGGTTTATCTCTTTAGCATAAGTAAAACATTATATTCATAGGTTACAAGGATCAAACTAACTGGTAATTTTTTAAATCCCACAACAGTTATACATAAATAAGACTAATTATTACAAAAATATTACTATTTTTTATATTTTTTTATTATATCACCAAGGCTGTTAGGGAAAAAATAAGATAAAAACTATTAAAAGAAGGAGGAAAGGATATCATTATTTGGAGTTGTTTGACACATGACTAGAAAATTTAGAAGCATCCAGGTTAATCTATTAAAACAGAGTATGATAGGGGCTAGAGTG